AGTGTTTTAGGATGTTGATGTTTGTCTTTCTGTTTGTGTTGCTCTGCAGAGCGTTGAGTTCCACGAAAGAGGGAAGAACCACAAAGAAAATGTCACTGCGAAGATCTCTGAGGTATTAACATTCATATGCGGGGTTTCCAATCAATCCATTTGAGCGTTTATAACATTGTCTAAGTGGATTTCTGATCATGGTGGGACGATTACCTGCACTTTACAAAGTTTAATTCAACGTTAAGCCCATGTGATTCTGCGTCTGTTTGCTGATTCACGAGCACACAGATGACCATAGACTCACATGGCTTTAAACCCCAGATAATACATAATCAGTATTCATTAACGAGGGTTCTCGGTGACTTAAACAGCCAACAAAAATGGGCACTTCTTGGCACCGCTCTCAGGACTGGCAGGAGAGATAAGGTCCAGACATACCCATCTGACTCTAAAGCTCTTTTCTTATTGGCTACTAGCCGGAGCCACTCATTTCATCCGATCTTTCTTTCCGCAGATTAAAAAGAAGAGCATTGATAAGGCGAAGCAGGAGGAACGTATGTCTAAAGAGTTTGCGGCAATGGAGGAGGCCGCACTGAAGGCATATCAAGAAGATCTGAAGCGGATGGAAAGGGAGTCAGCAGGTAATTTTTAGGCGTTTATTGAAATAATGTGTAACACTTGGCTGCTCCGGGGGGAGATGTTGCTTACTGATAACATTTTAAATTATGTGTTTTTGTCTTAGGAGAAGGTTCACTGGCCCAAACAACACCACAGCCACAACCTCGGGCACAACCTCGGGTACAACCTCAAGTACAGCCTCAGCCAAAACATCAGCCGAAACACCAGGGCAAAAAACAGCAAAAGAAAAATAAAGCAAACAAGAAGTTCAGAGACCAAATGGACGCGCAGGTTTGGATTGAAGGACAAACAGATGATGGAAACACATACTATTACAACACGCTAACTGGAGGTGGGCATAACCTGAAAAACACAGCTCCTCTTTGAATGGATCCTGTATGCCAACACATTATCTCAATATGTTTTTGTTTGTATTTTTACTACAGAATCTCAATGGGTAAAACCAGAAGAAGGTTTCCAGGGAGGAAGTTCAGCCTCTGAACAGACCCCGCCTGGACAGACTGGGGTTAATATATATTTTGTTTCTGTGCCTTTTTTGCATATTTATTTTATTTTAAACTAGGTATTATGCTCTGTTGGTTGCTGATAACATGCATTTATACTTTAATATTGTTTCTTTCTTTAGAGCTCTTCAAGCTGTCCTTGGATGGAAGCCGTCAGTCCTGAAGGTTATACATATTACTACAACTCAGAGACTGGAGGTAAAAAAAATGTTCTCATCTAAAATTAACTTAAATTACCACTGAATTCATTCAAGTTGTGGTGTTACTGTTTCTGGATTCCACCTCTTATTCTTTCTGATATCTTCCTCACCCCTCAGAGTCCAGTTGGGAGAAGCCAACAGACTTTCCTTCTGATGAGGCTTCTGGATCTGGGTCCAACATAGAGGAAGAGCCTTCAACCCCTCAGCCGGAGCCACTCTCGGGATCAGAGGAAGGCTCCAATGAGGCCCCTGCATCTCAAGAGGGCGAAGTCCCTGAACAAGCCAGCCAGCAGCCTAAAGTCCCGAAGATCAGCTTCAGGGTGAGAGGAAGAATTTTAACATCTGCTTGTCGAGATTCTGTAGACAAAAAAATCCAGACCTCACAGTTTTTCTACCTTGTTTTTTTTTGTTGTTTTCAGAAAAGAAAAGCAGAAGACGAGCCCTCAGAAAAAGAGGGAGAAGATAAAGCAAGTGATGATTCTCCTAAAGAGGACGCTGAAGAGGCGAAAAAAGAAGAAGAGGTCCAAAGCATGACAGCTGAACCTGAGGAGAAGAAAGAAGAAGAGCCGATACAGCGGAAGATGCAAGCCAAAAGGCCCAAAGCTACAAATCCATATGGGGTCTGGGAACAGATCCAGGAAGAGAAGGATCCATAGTAAGTGTTGTTTAAATGGTTGATTAGGATACTGATATATTGATCCACCAGCCTACAGACCCCGATAAAGAATAAATATGTGTCAAATGGGCTCTAACGGTTCCCTTTTTCCTTTCCCCTACAGTGCCAGCGTGGACTTACAGCTGCCCCAGGTGGAAGGAAACACGACCAGCGCTCCCGCCGAGCTGCCGCCAGAGCCAAAACCGAAGTTCAAGGAACGCATCATCACCTCCCTCGGAGAGGAAGGCGGACCCACTTCATTCAGGAGAAACAAGACACAGAACGGCAAATCCAGGAGCCTCCGACAGAGAGACGACGATGACTGACCCGAACACAGAACAACTTCAAGCCAGAACGCAAGAGACTTTTACACAAATAAAACTCTTTCTGGGAACCGATGCACCATTTTTGATCTTGGACGTGAATTAAATGCATTAGAAGTTTGTTTGTTTTTTTTACCTAAGATGCACAAATATCTTTTTTTTATTAACATTTTTAGGACACATTGACCTGAGAAACCCTGTTTCTTAAAAAAAAAAATCCATGTTCTTTTCTTAGTCTTATACAATATTGTCAGCATCCCAGTTTGATCATTTTATTAATTTCTTCTTATAGTGTGGTAAGTGCAGATGTACATATACAGAGCAATTCAAATAATTTTTTGTATTTTCCATATCTGTATTTTTTTTTCTTACCATTGTAAGCATCTCTGAAAATATCATTACAACGTGTGTCAGTTAAAATGTCATACTCTCATAAAGCAGTTTGGATAGAAGTGATTAAAGATGTTAAATTTAGGATGTCCGTGTTTTATGACTGCTCAGATACCGAAAACGTAACTTTACCAGCAGAATTAGTTTGAAAACAGGTTCAGACAGCTGAGGTGAGGAAGAAAACATTACTAAGAGGTTGGATGACTTAAAGGTTGCTGGTCAGCTGGCACACACACACGCAGGGTGTGACATGCTTTTGGGGAGAGTGTGTGTATAAAACTGATAGATTGGTTTTACCGCACCCTGATTGGCAAAGAACCACGAAGGATACTTACTGACAATAAACAGCCCTGATGTCTGTTTACAGTCACTTTTAATAAGTCAGCTTTACTGTTACATCGGCTCATTAATTTTAACATTTTGATAAGCAAATTGTACTTTGTTATTTAGGGAATAACCATGACACAATATACATAATTTAATATTTTATTTAAAAAAGACACACAAGCACAAGCACACATTATACCGATGGCTTCAGGCTCCTCTCCACCACCTCTATAAAAGCCTCCCTCTCCGTGTGTTCAAGTACGTCACAGATCAGATCATGGAGAGCCTCCCCTCCTTTCATGAACTCCTAAACACAGACCAGAACCAGAATTAACGAACCGGACATCAGTTTTGAAAATGACATTACCAAAACACAACGTGACATGACTGACACTCCCTTAATATCTAACCTTAATGTCTCTAGTAACATATCCAGTCCGGTGGTCTGTGACACGATCCTGGCTGAAGTTGTAGGTGCGGATCCTCTCCGACTGAGAGCGCGTGCCCACCTGAAGTTAGTTAACAGACGAGAAAGATGACATACAAAGATTTCTGAACGTTACGCATATTTTCCTGGTACACAAGGAGTTCGCTCACCTGCTGCTTTCGTTGCGTATACCTCTGCTCCGTCTCTTTGCCCATCATGCTCTGGTAGAGCCTGGCCCTCAGCACGCGCATGGCGGTGTCTCTGTTTTGCAGCTGAGAGCGAGTCTGCTGACACTCAGCTGTTGTACCTGCTCAGATAACAATGAAAAACAGATGGTGACGAGGCCTGGTTTATATTTCATATGAAATGAAAGCAGAACTGTCTGTAGTTTTACCTGTGGGAAGATGAACGATGCGCACTGCACTGTCCGTCGTGTTGACGCTTTGGCCCCCGGCACCTCGAGACCTGAACGTGTCGATGCGAAGATCCTTCGGATCAATGTGGACGTCAAACTATGAACACGAAACACACAAAAATAAAGACGCTAATAAACACAGACGGATGATAAAAGCCGGTCATAAAGAGAGTGTACCTCCACTGGCTGCGGCAGGATAATGACAGTCATGGTTCCCGTGTGGATTCGCTGCATCCTGGAGGAGAGGCCCACCTCGGGGATCCTTTGCACCCGGTGCGTTCCTCCTTCATGCTTCAGGTATCTGTACACGTTCTCCCCGGCTATTCTCACCGCCGCGTGGTGCAAACCACCTGAGACGGAGACACAGTCGATGAACGCAGCCGGCAAAGGCTCCGCACCAGCCGGATTAAAGGCCATTATATGACTTACCATACTCTGCGTTTGTGTAGTTAAAAACCTCAAAGTCCCAGTTCTTGTGAGAGGCGAAACCCTGGTACATGTCAAACATTTCTCTGGTGAACTGCTGACAGATGTCACCTGAAACCACATAAATGGACAGTAAAGACTGTCAGCGACTTCACTTATTTGTTTCCAATCATACAACCAGATACTTGTATGTTCACGTTCATACCTCCCGTTGTTCGTCCTGATACAACCTCCAGCAGAATATCGCTGGAGTCGAGGGGGTCAGAGGGCACAAGAGCTTTGATGAGCTGGAGATAAAAGAGGATAAACTCATATTCTGTAACACATTTACACACATATTCGATCACACATTTGGGGTCTTACGTCTTTTCTTAAGGCCAAGATCTTGCGGGAGATTTGTGCTTCCTCCTCTTTCAGCAGCTGGGTCAGCTGTGTGTCTTCATCTTTGGTACCAGAGGAACCTGCAGCAGAACATGGTTAATCGCATTCAAAGACATTTTGGATCCTGACTGCAATTTAAGAGCGAGTTTAACAAATAAACCCTCCAGTACCTTTCTGAAAGACACTGTAACACCGTTACCTTCTGCAAAAACCAAAGAATTACTTACATTTTGACAATTATTGGACATAAACACAGAAACCACTCACTGTGCAGAAGAGACAGGACCTCCTCAAGGTCTTTCAGGGCCTGCACAGTGCTCTCAAACACATTTGCCAGAGGCAGCAGCTCTGTGTGTCTCTTCATCAGCACTTTTCTGTCAGACTCGCTGAGATATGGCTGCTCTAACTCCTTGCTGAGGTCCCTGTACTCCTCCATGAGCTGCTGGAGATACCTCTGAACGGACTCCCTCTTGTACAAGCCCCCCACATCGCTGTGAGAGAGGCGTTCAGGTGCTGCCCTGCCCCAGTGTTGCACCACTGTGGTGTTGCCATGCTTGTGTCCTGTCAATGTCCTCCTCCTTCCTCCTCCTCTTCCTCTGCTGGTGTTATAAACTACACGGCTACGTAGAGAGAACAGCCGAAACCAGCGGCTGGCGAGCATTTGACTTCATTTAGCGAACAATGAGTCAATTAAATCACTATTCACACGGTGTTGTTCAAGTGATTGCAAAAAAACTCAAAAGACTACAACTGCGGCGAGCCGTTAAGAGATACCGGAAGGAGTTTAAGGCGCAAGGTCGAGGAGACTCGCGAACTGAACTCTGGGAACTGTAGTTTCATTGTCTCGGCCGTTGGGCTAATTATTGAAAGTCGCTTTTTTTTAAATTATTATTTATATTTATAAATTAAATTATAATTTAATTTATAAATTAAATCACACTTGAATTGTATCTATTTATTTTTACTAATTAAAAAAAAAAACTTTAAACTAAAACTACGTTAGGCATTAGGATAACTAATGTTTAACATTTAACGTTAGCTGTTAGCTGACGTCAAAATGTCAAACTTTAGAGCCAGTGAAAATGGTAAGATGATAAATATCATCAACTTTAAACTATAGTAGTTTAACTGTAGCTAATAACTTGTTAATACTAGTTAATTGACAGAAAAATTTTAAATATAATTTGAGTGTTTAAGGCAACTCAGCCTATGAAAGCTGATTTAACTGAGAAAATAATGTTAATCTTAGTTAGTTCTCAGTTATTAGTTAATTTTAGCTCACTTTAGACCTGTTTTGACACCTTAAACTCGCTATAACCAAATAAGATGTTAAAATCTGTAACATTTTGTTTTTCTAAGACACAAATGACCTTCTTTACCGTCAAATTATGCTTCATAACTGGAAACATGAGTAACTACATTAACAGAAACCTTGATACACTTTTATTAACCGCCCTTCAGGAGCACAGAAGAAGCAGTTCTCGTTAACCAAAGCGGTGGAGGATGTCAGTCAACATGGCTTTGCCCAGACTGAAGCCCTGAAAGAGAAACAGAAGACACTCAGCTCCCTGCAGGTTCACCTTTAACCCCTTTTTAAGTCACTATAACTCAAGAAAACACTGCCTATAAACTAAAAAAACTAAAGTATTCTTTCCACTAACCTATGCACTTAAAACACTTTATAGTAGTACTCTATAAAGTGAAAGTAAAACTGGATTTATCTGTGTTTTTACTGTGATATCTTTTTAGATAACACGATAAAAAGATGAAGCAGACGATAGAACGATGAACAAACAATAAAATAAAATAAATAATAACCATGTATACACATAAAATCAACACTGTCAAAAGCCAAAGAGAAGAGGTGGGTTTTAAGATTTAAAAAGAAACAGTGAGGAGAAAGTTTTGGAGTCATTAATATTATATTGTGGTGGCGCAGGTTAATTTAAAGTCACCGCAGTAATGGACTAGTCATTAATATTTGCAGTATGTAGTTACAGAGAGTTTTTATTCTAAGTGTCTGAATCTGCATCCATAATAGACAACTTTGTATCTACGTGTGGCCCTTAAAATCCTTGAGATTGTTGGGAAAATGTTGTATTTTTTCCCCTTTTCATCCAAAAGACTAGTTTCTGTAAAAGCTGTGAGAGTGTGTCATATGTCTGCTTATTTCAAACGCCTTCGCTTGGAGATCAGGCCCTCATTTGGATGTCACGATTCCTTTTCCAGGCAATTCTTTCCGACGTTGAGAGGAAAGGTGAGACGGCCGAGCAGGAGCTGAGATCTAAAGTGAGGGAGATCCTGATGCTGGAGGGCGAGATGGAGCGCCTGGAGCGGCAGACAACAGTCCTGTGTGATCGCTGCGTATCCATCAGCAAGGAAAACACAGAGCTCCGCACTGGTGTAAGTGAAGAGGGAGAGAACGCTCGCATGGCATTGGAAAGGTTCGACACTTACCGAAACAACATGGAGGCTCACAGAGCAGCAGTTTTGCATGCGGCGAGCCAGACGGCGGCCTATAAAGAGCTTGCAGAGAAGAGAGCGCTGGTCAGGGTGCTGGCGCAGAAGAAAGAGGAGCTGAGGGAAGATCTGGAGAATCCACATGGAAACACAGTGCAAGTGGCAAAGGTGGTACAAAATGAACTGGATCCTGAGTCGTAGTCACATTTTAAACTGTACATATCATGTTGTTTGTTTGTTTTTTTGGTGAATTATCCGCAGAGAGAGATTGATGCTCTGAAGGGGGAGATCTCTGTGAAGAGGAAGGCTACAGCTGAGAGGAAAGAACGACTGCGAAAAGAGTTTGAGACTCAGGCCCAGATAAAGAAAGATGTAGAGGTATGGCGAAGAGAAGTTGTGTGTTTACTATCACAGATGAGCATGAAAAACAGAAAATATTCACATTTGGGAAGCTGGAAATTGTGACTTTTGCCATTTTTGCTTATAAAATTACATTAATAAATCAGAATTGCTGCAGATCAGAGAGCACTGCTCTATTGTATATATTAAAAATCTACAACAGATGAAGGTACAGCATTGAAGAAATCCCTATTCTCAGTTTACACAAATTTAGCACAAGACGGGAGACACATCATGTTAAGTTTTATTCCCATTGAAAACGTATCAAATTGAATTTGTGTGTGTTTCCAGATTCAGAATAGGCGCTACGAAGCCATCATAAAGCGACTCCACTGCCAGCTGAGCAGGGCCCAGGCTGTCCACAGGTGAAAAATATATGCAAATACATGATATCATCTTTTTTTACACACCTAGAAAGTGCATATTTAGGGATGGGAATTTCAATTAATGTTTCTCTCAGATGTTAATTCTAAATGTATAGATAACAAACCAAAAGTTGGGATAAAAACGTCCCAAAAGCCATAAATAGGGAACAAATCAGGAGGCTGTTTAGAGGCAAATTGCTCCACGCTGTGCAATAAGGTTCCATATATTAAACGCTACTGAACTGTGTCTGCTTTAGGCAAATGTCTGAAGATATCTACCACATGGAGAGACAGCTAGCGGAGCTCAGGAGGCAGCTGAAGTCATCACAGGACTCAGTGGCCAGTGGTCATTAAACTGTACTGTAGTGGATAAACAGAGATTATAAGATTACCACCTTATATAAGTTAATTGTTTTATCAGATTAAATGCAAGGTCGTTGTAGTTTTACTATGGGTGTTTGTTTAATTGTTGCTGTTACTATAACTGACCAGCAGGGGGCAGCAGTGTCAAATACATGTATGTTAACACAAAAGCCTCACCAGTAGTTTGATACCAGCTGGTAATTGTGAGTGTTTTATCAAAGAGAAAACAGCAGAAGTATTAAAATATTTGCCTGTTATCACAAAATATTCGATTTACTTCAATAGCAGGACGGGATGCATGAGTGTTTCACTTTCCTGCGGCTGTTCTGAGACCAAATCAGGGTCATCATCAGCAGGGCGTGGGATGGGATTTTAGGTTGGGTGGTGGCAGTGAATCGGATTGTCCGCTCAGTGTCCACCACGGTGACCTGTGCTGAACAAAAGCCAAGTGTCTGCTCTAACTGTCGATGTTGATGATGGTGTTGTTTTGGTACACGCTGTTCCAGCTTCCGCTTCACTGGGTCACTTGATGGTCTGCGAGGTGACAGTCCCACTGCCAGTTAACGAGGGCGTGACTGTGCTACTTCAGCCATAACTTTGAACTAATTGAACAATGAAACTGCCTTTTTCAGAAGAAAAACACTCCACATCACGTCAGCCTCTGAGAAAAGCTAAAACTTGAGACATTAAGCGTGTTTCCCTCATTTACACATTTTGTCGTACGTGTGTTTGTTCAGACTGTATGTCTCTTTGCGTTATTGGAGCAATTATGAAAAACCATCAAAAGGCATGGAATTGCATATTTGGGGCCTGGAGAGGTTAACTAAAGACCAAACAGTAGCAAAGTTGATTTACAAAGCTTAAAAAGACAAAAAAATATATATTATATTATATAATATATAAGGTGACAATGTTCAGAGCACACATTAATTACTTTTTTCATCTTTTTGTGCAGATTTGTAACCTATCATCTGCAAACATTTGATGTGTGTGTCAGCTGCCATACATATATATGAATATATATATATATAGTCAGCAATTAAATAACATAATTAACAATTTCAAGACAAATGCATGCAACTATATGACATTTAAAAAACTATTTTTTCAGTAATATGTGTAAAAGTTATCGGTTTTGAACTGCAAACTGTGTAGTAACCCATGGTACCTACAGCTATAATTTACAGTTAGTGAATCTGGTTGAATGTGTGGGAGGTAAAGGACAACGTGTGATGAATTTCCCAAAAGTTAAGACTGTTTTCGTTACCCACTCATCCACAAATTGTAGTTTAGTGGGTTATTTCCTCAAAGGTGCGCCAGGGGAGTCTATCCAGGCTGCTATACTGCAGCATCGTTCTGTCTGACTGACCTTTATTAGCATATTCTCAGCCTGACCGCCCTCTGCTCTTTCCTTACACACACTCCCAATATTACACACAAGAGTTTCAGACATAAAGTCACAGGGCAAATGTGTAGCAAACTTTCCAAAACACACTCTTAGAGCAGTCTGATATATATAGAAACATGCCGCAGTGAATTTATATTTCCCCCTTTGAGCGTACAACACGTGCCTGTACACTCTCCACTGCATGACCCTTTAAAGCGCACGAGACGTGGCTGTTTCTTCTCTACATTAGGTTATGCATTGATTGTGTTGCACTTGCATAACAGTGGGTTTCCACTCTGAGGGGCAGCTCCTTGCAGCACGCACCTCGTTTGCAAGAAACTCTTTAAATAAACGCCACTCATATCTTCCTGTACAGTCCAAGCTAATTAAGCACGAGCTAATTAGGGAACAAATTCAACACCAGCCTTCTACCACAGGCTGGTTTTCCTTATTTGGCTTGGACATTTTGTATACTCCACTTTGGCATCAAGCGTCCCTTCAAAATATACTTGGCTGCTGAAACGGATAACAAAGAGGGGGAGTTTAGGGATTAAAAGAGAAATAACTGAACATATGTCCGTTTAAAGAGTTCATTCAACAGGTATATCACCCTTAAAGTTTTTTACAGCTCTAAGACGTACTTCAGCGTTCTCATCCTGCCAGGAGATTGTCTACAGTAACACAAACTGTGATCCATGGATCTGTGTTCTTTGAACATCAACACAACAACGCTCTATTGCTAAATATTTCAAACTGGCCTGCCTTCCCCTCCAAGAAACATCTTTTTAACCTTGTGTTG